TTAGTGGTGCCAAGTTTTGGCTATGTGCACGGCTGCATAGAAATTCAACGCCAACGCAACGCCAAAGTTTATCTTTATTTATTTATTTTTATTTATATTTCTTTATTTTTTTTTTCTCTGTAAAGGCAAAATACATGCATAAATACATACATCCGAACCACTAGCGCCCACAAGGGGTGGGTTTTGGGGTTCAAACCCCCCCTAAAGCTAATAACCTCAAATACAAACTCAAGGAAATTATAAGAAATATTTATTATAATTTCTGTTGCTTGAAAAAGCGCTTTGCTTTTGCTGTAAATTTTCATGAGGAAATAAATATACGAGCATTTTTTTCTTGAGAGCTGCAAACTGATTTATGAAAATTTGGTAGAAGAAATTTTTTTTTCCATTTATCGTCCGTCGTTTTATATGAATATTTCGTTTTTCTTGAGAGTTCAGTTAATTTTTTCGCAACTCGAAATATTAAAAAAATTTAGCAATCGTGAAAAATCACCATCTATCGAAAACCAGAAACCAGAAATCGAAAAAATTAACATAAAATTGCAAAAATTCATGGAATCAATAAATTTATTTTTACTGACTCTTTTTTAAAATTTTTTATTAGGTACTTTTGAAAGTTGAGCGCATCTTGAGTTTATAGAACTTTTTATTAAACAAGTAGTTTTTAAGGAAAGAACACAACCGACTTCAATTCTCATATACAAATTTAGGGGTACCGTTAATTTCTTCATGATCCAATCATCGGATCTCTAAACCAAATTACGGGACGACCCTAGAGGTACCATCTTTCCAATAAAAAAAGGATTATTGAAATCGGTTCACGTGGTAAAAAAGTTATGTATTCCGGCGAATTGATAACCTCCCCTTTTTTGAAGTCGGTTAAAAGTGTTTGAGTTCTGTTAATCTTATGTAAATAAAGTGCAGTTTATGAATTTTAAAACGTTTATTTATTTATTACATACTGTACATAAAACTTGCAGAAATGTATTTTAAAGAGCGTATTATCAAGCAAATTTTCAGAGTTTCCGGTGATATATCTTTAGGAATATAAAACCCCCCTAAAATATATTCCTGGGTGCGCCCCTGATACGAACATATACAAATATGCATGTTATGTATGTACATATTTATGTATACAACTTTAAAAACTTTTGTACTAAATAATCGATGCTTATGTTTACCTCGCTGCGAGTACGCGCGGCATGCGGAATGAAGGCAGAAGCAGCCGTGGCAGGAGCGAAAAAAAAATAACTAGCGACTCCGTGCAAGTTTCCGTGTTTTGAAGTGCAACGGAAATGGTGCAACGGAAATGATTGGGGCTGAAACAAGTGCTTCTTATGTGTATGCATATGGTATAAATTTAACTAAAATTTGCTAACAAAAGGTTAAAGAATAACACTTAGAAAAAGACCAATACAAGTATGAAAGTAAAGGTGACTACGTACATAAATGAAGAATAGGATAAAGGCAAAGGCAAAAATAACAACAAAAACAAAGTTGCGTAAAGATAAAGGCAAAAATGAAGACCAAGGTAAATCTAAACACTTTACTTATATATATAAGAACAAATGTGAAGGGAAATATGTAGCTGAAAAAAATGATGAACATAGAAGTAAAGACAAAGAGGAGGATGAGGATACGATAAAAGCAAAGATGAAGATAGGGGAAGAAAGATTAAAATAGAGGTAATTAAAGAGGAAAGGATATAGAGTGAGACACAGAGACTCAATCTGGGAACTATTTTTGGATTTTAGAGATTTTATCTATCGATAAAATAATCGATATTTTTATCGGTTTTGTTATCGAAATTCATCGATTTCGTTATCGATAATTATCGATTTTGTTGTCAATATTTATCGATTTCGTTATCGATAATTATCGATTTTGTTATCGATATTTATCGACTTTGTTAGCGATATTTATCGATTATGTTATCGATATTAATCGATTATGTTATCGATATTTATCGATCTTTTTATCGATATTTATCGATTTTGTTATCGATGTAAATCGATTTTGTTATCGATATTTATCGATTTTGTTATCGATATTTATCGATTTTGTTATCGATTTTGTTATCGATATTTATCGATTTCGTTATCGATATTTTTATAGGTTTTCTAATCGATTTAGCTACCAATGGTATTATCGATGTTGCTATTGANATGTTATCGATATTAATCGATTATGTTATCGATATTTATCGATCTTTTTATCGATATTTATCGATTTTGTTATCGATGTAAATCGATTTTGTTATCGATATTTATCGATTTTGTTATCGATATTTATCGATTTTGTTATCGATTTTGTTATCGATATTTATCGATTTCGTTATCGATATTTTTATAGGTTTTCTAATCGATTTAGCTACCAATGGTATTATCGATGTTGCTATTGAAATTTGTATCGAATTTGTCATCGATTTTGGTATCGGTATTTTGATGGACGTTATAATCGATTTTGTTATCGATAGAGTATAATGATAAAAATGAAGACAATGGAAAAACAGAATGACATGAATGTTATTAAAACGAGCAGTGGTAGAGGTAGGGATCTACATTGATAGAAAAAAAGAGAAAAAATATAACCTTAAGCAAAAGCAGATGTGGGTATCTATAGATAGATAAGTAACGTAAGTTTCACTTCTACAGTGTGGCCCAGGCGCACTTACTTTTTTTTTCTTTTAAATAATGTATTATATAATAAGGATTGATATTCAATGTAAACGATTAAATAATCTGATCGAGAAGTAATAAATATTTCCATTTGTTTATAAAAATTTAAACGAAAATTTAAAATTTTATACAAAATAATGATTATTTGAAAAATTTAGACAATCAGGCTAAAGCATGTCTAATTAACTGTAGAAAAAATCAGCAGGATACATGCTAAATATGAATCAGTGGATAATAAATAATTACTGAGTTCATCAAGAAAAAAATTAATAACAATAACTCTTGTAAAAAATCGAATTTTGCAAAATTATTCAAATTATATTTTTTTATGGTTGTAAACCGAATAAAGTGATTTGTTCGAAAAAATCTTGATCATCCAATTTTGGGTGCCCACTTGAGAGATTTTCACTCTATACTAAAATTTGATGGGCTACAAAAATTAATATTCGAAATATTTATAAAAAACTCTGATTTGAAGACGGTTTTAGAATTCTATCAAGTTTGCAGCACAGTTAGAAATTTGAATTTAAATGGTTTATAGCACGTTACGTGCGTTGCGATCAAGGATGAAACTGACAGGTGAGTAGACTGCGTGTGTTTGCTTACAGAGCGCCAGACTGGCAACCCTTGCGTCGACGTAACCAACAAACGTTGGCCAACACTCAACTTTGGCCGCAAGTAGCTCCGTCACTGCTGACATTTGTATTACCTTGCGTTTATACAAGACAAGAAAATGCAGAATATGTACTATTTTTCACATTCTTTGAGCAAAAAAGGGCGCCCAGACAATAAACTGTTTTCGAAAATCTAAAAACATTCACGAAGACAATGAGAGAAGTGTGAATTTATAAGTAAAAAAGTGCGAATGTATTGCTATTGCATCTGCAAAATTAACTTGTGTAAACCCCAAGTACGAGATCATAAAGAACAGCTGATTTTTGTTTGCAAACGCAACACCATCATTGTGGCGTCGCTCTACGTTCTTTTACGTCACAGCAGTTTCATCCTTGAGCGTCACGTACGCAAAGTACTCTATCTGGCAGGGCTATTAAAATGAAAAACATTGGAAATTAAAAAAATCTCTGCATACAGTTCGGGTGCTCAGTAATATATCTACGTATGTACAGTATCGGTCATATCAATAGCACCCCCATTTCAAAGTGAGATTGTTTACCACTTTTGTTTATATATAAATTTTTTTAATCCGATTAAAAGGTCGAAAATTTTGATGGAAAATCGTTAAATTTTCCTTTCTTTTGTATAAAGTTTGAAAACACGGTTTATATGATTTGTTTTAAAAATGATCAATTTTTTATAAAATAATAACAAACAAATTATAACTCAATATATTGTGAATATTTAAAAAAGAAATAGTGTACGCAGACTTTTGCTGTTAAGTGTAGCTTAACTAAATCTTATGGTCATATTTTGCATTAAATTTTATACGTACGTATATATGTATAAAAATGACATTAATGTTACCAATTCTTCATTCTCATTCCTTTGGCAGTTTCGAATTTGGGTAAACTTTAACTTCATCAGCGTTTTTCGATTTAATTTCTGTAATTCATTTTTAATACTTTCTTCTGCGACTGGTTTGAAAAATTTGTGCTTATAGCGAGCTAAATAAGTGGATATGAAAAATAAATTATTATTTTCCGGGAATGAAAATTTTGAACAAAATTCTGTTTTAAAAGTCGTGGCTGCCAGCCGAATCGGATCAGAATATTGTTATTTAAAAAAAAAGCACCCTGCTTTTTATAAGCATTTGAATCTCAGATAGTTACGTAATTCTTAGCACACTTAGTTCACAACTCCCATTCGTCTTTTTATTTTTTTCTGTAGCCCCGAAAATCCCGCAGATCCCGCATGTATAATGCTTTATTTAAAATCCTGCAAAAATGGCGCGGGATCCCGCGTTTTCAGGATTGGTTTCCCTAGTGCGACCGTTGGTTCAACATGGTTATGTTTTGCTCTAGATTGCACCGTTTGTGGGCCTGTGGGATGAAGTTGTGTCTTGGTTGTATGAAAGATCAAAATTCTTGGATTTTCTGGCAAGTTATACAACTCGTCACTATGTATGTATATTAATGGCCATTGGACACACTCATTCGTCAGAAGACGCATGCATAGTAACCACTAATGTGTTCATTCCTAAGTTTTTTTTTGAACAAGTAAAAAAATTTTTCCAGCTATGAAATAGTAGCCATTTTAGAATTTATGTAACATTGTAGCTTTTTATTTTAAATATAACACTTTTGCTACAATTGTAGCCAAACGGCGAGTGCTTTGGTTAAATATAAAAACAATTATTTATTTCAGTATTTCCCCGACTCTGGTACACGTGGACGTAGGGAAGGAACGGGATCAACGGAGGCCACCGAAATGATTTTGAATAATCTTTTCTATATAACAGCAAAGGTAAATGAAGCTTGTTAATACTATGAAAATCTAAGTAAAGATGATCAACTTTTTTTACCAAACCTTGAAACCCTTATGCAAATCTATCAAATCGCTTATGATGGCCGGTACACTCTAGAAGATGTGAGTAGTCCACTTCCAAAGTGCGCTATGTAAATTTTTTTCGATTTTTAGTTTTTGGTGGTTAACGTACCAGTATTTAAAGTAGTTTCATGTCCACTAACAATATAGTGCGAAATCCTTATATATTCTGAATAAAATGGTATCAAATGTTAGCTGCTCCAGCAAAAGTCGCTATAATACTTACTGTATGTATATATACACTTTCAAAAGTCGCTATAATATTTATTGTACGTATTTATACAAGTTCAAAAGTCTCCATCTTCGTATGAACTTAGAAAACTGCAAGAAAACGTGGTAGTTTCGGTGCCTAGTGGAAGACGTCTTAAAAAAGAAGCAGACCAACCTTCATGGAAGAGAGAACGCGAAAAGCTTAAAAAACCTATATAAAACTTACTGTTTCAAAACTCGCTATATTTAATTTCTATATATAAAATTTGCAAAAACTACTACACTGCGATTTTGATTTTTAATGTTATTAGGCTCTCATTTATCCAAATTTTCTGATAATAAAAAGAAATATACAATTTGGATGTTACTTGTTGTTGTAGACGTTTTTTTTTAATTTCTGGCTTACTATTATAAAATCACATAACGCTGTTTGCAAGTGGACTACTCATGTGATAATTTAGTGAATCTTAATTCTTATATTTTCATCTTTTTTGTTTGTGGCCAACTTTTACAGTGAGAGCTTATTAAATAGCAATTAAAAGTCCGTTGTTTGGTTTTGTTGGAATGTAGCCGTTTTAGTGTAGCTTCAGAGGAGTTTGCTAGATACATGGAAAATCGAATCGTCGGCCTTATATAAAAAAACCAAGGGTAATTTTTAAGTCTATTGTTGAGTTATTTTTTGCCATTTTTGGCTAACTTAAATAATTTTACAAATTTTTCGAAACTTACTTTTGACAGCTTATTTATTAGATGCCTTATTTTGCTACAGTATTTCAGATCCTCCTTTCGGCAGTAGAACAGGACGCTAAAAACCTATCAAAATGGAACAATTTTCGGTATTGCAAAAACTGAGCGAGCTATAGTGATGAGCGATATTTCACTAGCGGTGATTTGATCACTGTGATTTAAAAATGGCTTATAGTGACTGCTACTACTAGGCCGGTGATTGGTGATTTTTCTACTCGCATGATATTTCACTGTGAATGAAGATCACATCTGTCAATAGCTAGTCAACAGAAGTTGCGAATGGTTATTCATGGTAGAAATGGTGATTTAACAATTTTTAATTATTCATTGTGAATACTCTCATATGTATATTGCATTTTTTCATCACCGTTCCATGGTTGTTTTAAGTGGACTTTTTAAAGTACGCAGTTTGATTTGCTTGATCGCGTTTTTTGCTTTTCAGTTTTTTATTTCAAAATTTGTATCAACGAGTAAAGATGGCTGCAAATATTAATAAAACACGAAGTGAAATATGGGAATTTTTGAGCGAATAAATGAAACTTCTTCCTCTTTTCCCTACACTCATTTTTTCGCCTGAAATCGCTACGGGTAGGGAATCATCCCTACATGTGCCAACACTGATTTGTCATCATTTATTAGAAATATTACGTATTTCTGTGTTATTAAAAGAACTAGTGATCGCAATAGCCATAAAAAAATCACTGTGATTTAAAAATCTCAATCACTCTTCTCACTGATACTGAAAAACCGCTACTTCGCCCATCACTATGACCTCTCCGAAATCCTCGAATAAAAAGACTGGTTTTCGATGGGTTTATTTTTTATTTTTTTTTATTTAGTTATGTTATAGAGGTTTACGCCGATAGATATTGCGGCGTCGGCGTCGTCAATCTTAGGTCGAGGCCACGCAATGAGCGGCAAAACATACGAAATACTATTGAAGCAGGGATGGGCGTTTTAGATTGAATTATTATTAAAATAAAATATAAAATTTTATTCATAATTTTTCTAAGTTTGAATGACGAATAAATTTTTATTCTTCATTCAAGCACTTTCGAATGATGAATAAATTTTTATTCATCATTCAAGTAATTTCAAATAACGAATAAGTTTTTATTCTTGATTCAAGTATTTCGAATGGTGAATAAATTATTTGAATGAAGAATAAAAATTTATTCGTTTTATAAAATTACTTGAATGATGAATAAAAATTTATTCATCATTCGCAAGTGCTGCAATGAAAACGTATTCTTACTTTTTGTTATTCAATTATTCATTTTCCTGATTATGCCCTGTATTGAAGTAGCCACGTACTGAGCGCCATTTCTGCGCGGCTGAACGACATTTCTGTATGACGCCGCTCAGCCGCTCATTGCGTGGCCCCGACCTTAAGGCCCCGCCAGATAGAAATTCTTTTCTGCGTCACAGGAATGCTGTTGACTGACAAAACGTACGGAAGATGCCGAGACGGCACAATGAAAACCTTGCCGCAAACAAAAAGGCTCAATTTGATTTCTCAAAAATCAGCTGGTTTGTATTCGTTCCATATATTTTTGTTGTTGTTGTTGTTTTGCCGCATATGCGTGCGTCCAAAGTTGAGAGTTGGGCAAATTTTATCAGTTACGGCAACGCATGCGTCTTCTATTCAAACTCATAGAGTTGACTTGGATGTCAGTCAAAAGCTTCCCTGTGACGCAGAGAAGAGTTTCTATCTGGCGGAGCCTTTAGAAATAATCGGCGTCGGCGCATCTGGCCATTAGCCACATGCCAAAGAACGTAGGAAACCAATTGTTGATAAATTGTAACGCAACTTTACGCGCCTAATCAATATTTGGAATCGGTGCATACGCTTGTTTATTGAAGTACTTTAATATAAAAAATATTCTATTAACCAATCATCTAATAAAAAAATTAAATCGAATAACCCTACTGCCATAATATTGTTTCAAAATAGTCACTACGATAATCACTTCCCTTTTCCTTCAGAAGCACTCTACTCGAAAATTAGCAAATGACAGCACTGCTACCAAATCTAAGGGTCATTCCATATAATATTTACACCTCAATATTTTTATTGGTGTGAAATATTTTTCGTTTTATTTATTTAGTCACAGCTAGAACACCATCGCGTCAAATGTGTCGCTACTCTCTTAAGTGCTGACCTCTACCGCCAATTACGTAATATTTTTTGGTGGAGGCAATTTTGTATTTTTGAAGTGAAACTTCTTACACGAGTTCGGAGATGGTTGCGTTAAATATTTAACACCAAGTCATAAAATCTTTATCGTTCGTTCGTTTTCCAAAGATGAGGTGTCCTTCGGGTGTGAAACATAGCTCTAGTTCCATGAAAGGAGTTGCGACATGTTAGAGAATCGAATTCAAAATTTCTCTGCCGCAGAGGGTTGCGTTAAATATTTAACTCCAATTCATAAAACCTGTATCGTTCGTTCGATTTTAAAAGATGAGGTGTCAAATGAAAAGCCCAAAAAAACAATAACGCAGTGGCAGTGGCAGTTTTTCGAAATCAGCTGTTTCTGAAAGTGTGGTGTCCAATGAAGCGGCTCACAACACAGCAGTGGCAGCTGGCAGCACTGCTCAGTTTAGCCCAGATTCTGAATTCACTGCCACTGCCTTCATCGCAGCAAACTTCGCATGCTGANATGTCCAATGAAGCGGCTCACAACACAGCAGTGGCAGCTGGCAGCACTGCTCAGTTTAGCCCAAATTCTGAATTCACTGCCACTGCCTTCATCGCAGCAAACTTCGCATGCTGAATTTGACATAAATAAAATGCAGCCAACTTCTGTTCATGTCACTGAAGCCTAAAAGACAACAACAAAAATGTAAACAAACAAAAGGGAATGTCAAAAAAAAGCTGTCACTGACAAAGCAGTTACCAAGGCGAATTTATACAGGGTGGTGTTGATGGCGAATTAAATTTTCGCCGCGGTACTACTGAATGTCAAAATGATGTGTTTGTTGTAAACAAGGCGAATTCATTTTACAACAGACACATCATTTTGACATTAAGACGTACCTCGGCGAAAATCTAAATTCGACGTCAACATCACCTTGTATAAATTCGCCTTGGCCGTACCGTATTTGCTGCGGCAGTGACTGCCAATATTAGCAGTAACAGCTGATTTTAAAAACTGTCACTGCCACTGCCACTGCGTTATTGTATTTTGGCCTAAAGGGCTTGACCTCTAGATGTGTAATATGATTTTAGTATTTTAAAGGATTGCCATATATACGAAAATCAAATTCAAATTATTTATTAAAATAAATAAAGTATCCTAATATGGGTATCAAAACATGAACATGAACATGAACATGAATATGAACACGAACATGAAGATGAAGATGAAGATGAAGATGAAGATGAAGATNGAGAAATGGTTTTAAAGATGAACATGAACATGAACATGAACATGAACATGAAGATGAACATGAACATGAACATGAACATGAACATGAACATGAAATTGAAGATGAAGATGAAGATGAAGATGAAGATGAAGATGAAGATGAAGAAGATGAATATGATTGTGATCGACGTGTAATTCTCGCAGGAGATTTCATCGTAAACTTTTCGCTGGCCAAATCTGATGAACTGACAAAATTTTTTAAAGAAAAATTTTCACTGGAAATGGTTAATGGTAAAAATTATCTAACAGCCAAAGGATCGGCTACCATTGATGCGGGTTTTTCCAAAAATATTAATAATATTGAAAGAAAACTTTTCATATCTTACTTTAGCTAACGCAATCTACAGTTTAATATTGTAGATATGAATGTTTTCTCAACCACAACTAATAATTAAACTTTGCAGTTGGCTAAAAAAAATAAAAATTAAAGGGCGTTAAAAAAAATTTTAAATAAATATTTTTTTTTGTATATTAGAAAATATGTACATGTGTATGTATATCGCACATTTCTTTCTCTCTAGCATTTCCTCTGTT